GACATCACCCACCTCCTAAACAAAGAAATCTTCAGCTTGATTTCTAACTTTAAGCATCTCCTTCCAACTTTTTGAATCTCCTAATTTAGGTTGAACATGAAGTGGATGCACCCCTTTATGGCAAAACTCACCTTTCATAAAATGAGCCCATAAAGAATTATGCAGTCTGAATCTGATCCATTGCTTACTATAAAATATAGAACTCATATGCTCAAAATTCTTGAAGCCAAGTCCACCACATTCAACAGGCTTACACAATTTATCCCAATTAGTCCAATGCATTTGTTTATTTTGTTCTTCCCATAAAAAATTATTGAAAAAAAATATAAATCAATTTTTGGGTACTCTTCTTCATCTTAGCCATATGCATTATATATAAAGGAAAGGTGGTTAACACACTCTTAAAAAGAGTAATTCGCCTCTATTAAACAAAAAGAAGTTTAGCAATTAAGTTTAAATGATATCTTAGTCACCACATCATCATAATGAAGAAGTTTCCTTCTTCCTTTAATTAAAGGAAATCCCAAATAAAGAAGAGGATATTGAGCTTCTTTAAAACCAGTATAATCAGAAATCCACTTTTTAATAGAAATATTAATTCTATTACTAGCATGAAACTGACATTTAGCTTTGTTGAAGACCATGCCAGAAACTTCTTCGAAGCTGTGAAGTGTCTTTATTAGGCTTCTAATAGATTGCTTACTGTCATTAGAGAAAACCATCATATCATCTGCATAAGCCAGATGACTAACAAGAAAATTGGATCCATGTAGGAATCTTGATTGAGGAGAATTATGATGCGCATTATTCAACATCCTAGACAAGTAATCAAATGCCAATATGAAAATAGTAGGAGATAATGGATCACCTTCTTTGATTCCCCTCCCAGCTTGAAAGAATCCATGGCTCTCACCATTAATAAGAACACTATAAAAACTATTTCTTAACCATCTATTTATGAGTGAACAGAATTCTGCACTAAAACCTCTTCCATTCAATACATCCAATATGAAATTTTAGCTAATGGTATCATAAACCTTGGTGATATCAAGTTTAAAAACAATATTAGAACCCCTACATTTCTTATCAACATCAATTAATAATTCCTAAGCTAATAGAATGTTATCATTAATACATCTTTCTTTCACAAAAGCAAATTGATTTTCAGAAATTAAATCATTTAATAATGGTTGCAATCTGGAAACCAGAATTTTGCTGATAATTTTAGAGAAAATAGTGGTTAAACTGATTAGCCTAAATTCATGCCAACAATTCTTCTTTCTATCCTTAGGAATCAATACAATAGAAGTAGCAGCAAAGTACTGAGGAAGATCAACACCATGGAAGAAACCTGGGACAACATTAATCACATCACCTTTAACTATCCCCTTTAATGTTTATAAAAGTCAGCACTGTACCCATCAGACCTTTCAGTTTTATTCCCATCAATTGAACACAACATCATAAATTTTGTTCTCCTTAGGCACTCTTGTCAAATTCAGTGAAGAACCATTTAATAAGTTATCGTCAAACAAACAAGTTGAACAACTTTGAGAAATAGTGGAATCAGTAGAGTCAGCTAATAAAATATTCTAAAAATGTCTAACAACACTTTTAGCAATACATTTAGGATATGTAATCCAATCTTCTGCCTCATTTTTAATCTAAATAATTGTATTCAAACTCCTTTTATATTTAGGGTCCGTTTGGGGTAGCTTATTTGGTGCGATAGCATTTTGAAAACGCACCTGACATATTTAGGTAAACTGCGTTTTGGCAGCTTATACATTTTCAAAAAGCCGAAAACAACGTTTTCACATCGCACATATCTAGGTGCAGTGACAACTTTCTCGCAACGGTCTGACTTTTCCAAAAAATAAAAGTTGTAATAGCCACCATACCTAGCTTATCAAAAGATTATTTTTAATCAGTTTATCAGCAAATTATTCAATAAGCTGCAGCTGCCTCAAACAGACCCTTAATAATAGCTTGAAAAAATCTAGAGTTTCTGTCTCCCTGCAGAAACCAACTATTTGAAGCCTTTTGATGAAGAAATGATTCTTCCAGATCAATAGCATAAAGCAATTTTTTTTGAGCAATTAATAACTGACTTTCAGAATCTTTCCCATCCTCTATATCCTTTTCCAACTCAGCAAGAACATGTTCAGCTTGGATAACATTAAAATAAAAATTCCCAAAGTCTGTCCAATTCCATACCTTAAGAGCCTTAGCCAGTCTTTCTGTAAAATACATAGCTTCTCTGTAGGATTACCAGAGAAATTAATAACAGGAGAATTCCAACTTGTTTCCACTACCTTCTGAAACCCAGGATGAGAAGCCCAAACATTTAAGTATCTGAAATAAACTACCTTAGCTTTATTGGTAAAAGAAAAATTTAACAACAAAGGAGAATGATTACAACCAGTTCAGGGAAGATGCTTGACCATAGAAAAAGAAAACCTGATCCAACCAAGATTGGTTCTCAAGAAATCTATCAAATGTTTCCCAAATATTGCCTCTCCTCCAAGTGAAAGAAGACCCACTGAACCCCAAATCAAACAGTTTAGCAGTCTAAATATTCTTAGTGAAAGTTAACATCTTACTAAAATCTGTATTCTTTCCAACCTTCTTTTCAGAAGGATTAACAATACAGTTAAAATTTCATCCAACAAGCCAACACTCAGTCATACCATGACTGATACAATGTAGTTTAGACCAAAACTCCACTCTAGCATCATTAGAACATCCGACATGAATAAAAGTAGCAAATCCTTTCAATTGTTCAAATTCAAAAGCAATATGAAGAAATTGTGGATGGGCTTGCAAAACCTCAAACTTCATCTCTTTTCTACAAAATAACCAAATCTTATTGGAACAATTCTGCTTAAAGACAGAACTCTTGAAGTTCTTAGTAAATCTTTGCAAATTGGTTTGAACCAAAGGTTCAAGTAAAACAAATGCCCAAAACTTATGATCCTTGTTTAAACTCATAAGTCTATTAAGAGAGTCAGGATTAGCCACTCCCCTAATATTCTAACAAAGAAAATTAATCATGTATAGCCTGTTTTCCTGCTCTAATAATCCTAGAGAAGAAAGAAGCTTTTTGATTTTGAGGAGAACTCTTATTCGTAATAATATTATTAGCAGATAAGTGTCTCAATTCTAAATTCTTTTTCTTCTAGTCTTTTGTACCACCCAATCCTCCAACTCATTCCAGGCCACATTCATATTGTCTGGGATAATAACATTAGCAAGTTGTTCTGGAATAAGATATTCAACAGATGAAAGAAATAAAATAGAAGAATCCTCAAAACTTTTATGCAATGGTTCAACACTATTCACTAAACCATCATCATGAACTTCTTCACCAATACTAACAGGCTCAACCAACATATCAAGAACTTCTTCATTATCCTGAAGTCCCCCATCTCTAGCACAAATTTTAGCTGGACATATATTTCTTAGAACAAAAGATAAATAAATAGATTTGGGTTGCACATGAACATCTTTCCCAGTGAGATAATAAGTCCCCCAGGACAATTAGCTATTATAATTGGAGACACAATAGGATGAGGTTGCACATCAATATCCTCCACAGTGGTAGTATCAACTTTGGCAACATCAGCATGAGAAGTTAGCTTCATAGAAGGTTTAGTTTTAAGATGAGGATGAAGTTTATAACACTTGTCCATTGTGTGCCCAAACATTTTACAATGATGACAATAATATGGCCTTTGCTCCATTATAATTGGTTGCCAATAAACATTATGGGTTGTACCCAACCAGATTTCATTTAATATCAGGCAGTGAAACATCTCTTTCCTCCAAAATTGTAGCAGCAAATGGCCTAGTTAAATTGAATGTAGGCATATCCAATTTCAAAGGCCTTCCCAAAGCTGATTCAATTGAAAACAAAACTTGATGATTAAAGAAATGCAATTTAAGCCTTGGTAATTTAAACCAAATTGGTACAATAGGAGATTTAGGACTAGGATCAAAATCTGGTGACCTTCTAAGCATCTTCATTTACCTTCCTTCGACCAGAATAAACTTCTTAGAGAAAATTATTGCATAGTCTTCTTCCCTTGTAAGATCAATCATAACATGCCTACCATCAAAGAAGCCTATCTTCTAAGAACCTACTAGCTTAAGATCTTCAAAAGTTCTCCTTATACTCTCCATCTTCGGGTTACCAAATTGGAATTTTCCAATTAATGTGAATTTGTGGGCATCAGCCAGAAAGGAGAGTTCAACATCCGAAAATACCAAAGAAAGTTTTCCACCTTTCCTCACAATGTTTTTTTATCAACTTACAATCATTTTTACCATCAACAGAATCATGATATAATTGAGGGAAAACATGATTATCTCCATTCCCCAACCGTAAAGCGCCATGCCCAACCACTTCAGCAAAAGTTAATCTTCCAGGCAGAAAATCAAGAACTGGGTTGAAATTGAAATTTGTTATAGCATCAAAATAGAAAACCAGAAAAAACATATCTAAAACGCCTTTCAAATGTAAATGTACCACCAACCAGATTCAAAGAATAGATCCAGAACTCAACAGAAAAGTAGAACTATTCAAAATTTGAAATGCAAGAAATCCAGAAAAAAGCCACTAAACTCGAGAAACACCAATAAATGAGATTATAGAAATGAAAGCAGCAGTTTCTACCCCAATAGAAAAATCACAAAACTCACAGAATTCACCAACAAAGAAGAAGATGAACCCATGATTCTCCCCATTCTCCCACAGAAGTTCTAGAAATTCTTAAAACCATATATATATATAACAATTACTAACTTTTTAAAAGTGAAATATATCTTTTTATGCATAGGTTTATGATACCAAGATGGTATAATTGTTAATAGAGAGAGAGAGAGAGAGAGCTTAGAACAGCTTTCATGATCTTTAATGTTTATCAATTTAATTTAAATTAATTTATCTGATATCAAAAAATATATAATTTTACAAATAAACTTTCTGTAACTTTAATCTACGCAGGGAACATTTGAATATATGTATTAACTAAATTACAGATGCGAAATAAGTTATACATCCGTAAAATGGAGAACAATGACTTTACTAGGCAGTAAATAATACAACACATTTTGTTAACAAAAAGAATGCTTCTGCTACAACCTTGCCGGTAGATGAAGCAAGGTCAGTTGCCGTTAATTGTTATGATCTTCAAAGGCAAACTACCATGAAAGGAGTTGTACGTTTCACAGGTTTATAAAAATATATGAAGATATTGTGATATAAAGCTATAAGCTCTCTTTCATGAGGTGAGTGTATCATCATTTTGGCGTATAATTGCAGCTTTTAACTACCGATGTAACCCAGTTGGTGGAGAAGGAAGGCTAAGACTAACATGACAATGGCAAGTAGCATACCAGGCCTTCCCAAGAGCCAGTGTTTAGTCTTCTTCGCAATCTCGAATCCCTTCTGTGCTCTCTCTGCCCATCGCATCTGAAAATTTGCATGCTGAATAAATCAGATTCAATGGCTTAAAACAAAGGAAAAAATGGAGATCGAGGCGGGTAATTTGAAATTCGTCATCTGGCAATAATATTATGGTCGCGAAAATTAGACCAGATGGGAGCAGTTGAACTAGTCAGACCAGTTGGAACGTGAACTAGCCCTTCAAAACAATTTAATCGGATTAAAAAAGTAAATTTCCAGGTGAAATGGGATTAACATGTAAAAACCAGCAGCCAAATTGATAGAGCCATAAAACTGTATGCGGTTGAACAAGCTTGTTTAGATATTATAATAGAGATGATGTTGAAATCCAGTATTTGTTAGACTTCATCACGTACATACATGATATTTTAGAAGCATTTAGATACATACCACACAATTCTCATATATTTACGTATCTAAATCCTAAAAATTCATATTTACATGCATACAACTCAAATCTTTAATGTCACAAAAACATAACACCATCATTATGTTTTTAAACGTGAAATGTACTTTTTCGTGCATAGGTTTACGACAACAATGTATTATAAGTGTAAATATCAAACTTTAGGTGTGAGATATGTAATACATAAGAATTGTGAGGTATATTTTATGTTACATAGTATATATGAGTATGCATATATAAGTGTGTATGTTTATTGTGTGTGTGTGTGTGAGTTATCATTTATTTATCATCATTATTAGAAATACTATAATATTTTAATAATATTTATATCATCATGGCGAAACTCTCCAACTAGATCTCAGCTGAACCTTTGAAGCTTCCTTCCACAAGTTCAATGTTAGTTCCAGATCTAAAAATCTTGATTAATATTGCAATAACAAATATATGAAGCTAATAAGAAACATTTATACGGAGTAAAACAATTATACATGATAGAAGCTTTCATACCATTCTATCCAGGTCTTCCGGTGATAGTGAAGCCATGGCCTGTTGCGCTTTTGCTGCATCGTCTTTGGAGAGCTTCATGCCAAACTGTTCACTCATACTAGTCATCATTTCAGGACTCATGTTCTTCACCATAGATGCAAACATCTGTAAGTAAATTTTTGCAAAAAAAAAACAGTAAAAGACTAGATGGCTGTAAAAATAAAGATATCCAAGGACAAGGTAAAAGGCTAGATGGCTGTAAAAATAAAGATATCCAAGGACAAGAACATCTATTAAGATCGAACTAACAAACCTGCCGCATGGCCGGATCTTTCATAGAATTCCTCATGGCCTCCTGCAAATCAGTTGGTGGAGCACTCGAAGTACTACTTGAAGGCAGTCCACTGATATTTCTTGTTCCTGCAGTGGCATTAACTGTAGCAACTGATGATTGTGAGGCGCTTTCTGATCTCTGGGAGTTGAAAACAGAAGCAGCCTTCATGCTGTTCCCATTAAAGGAGGATGAAAATTCATACATCTTCTTGAGCTCTTCAGGAGGCATACTACTGATTTTTTCTGAAGCCATTCTAATCATTTCTGGAGTCATGCCATGACCATTCATGTTAGAGAATGGCGACCCATTTCCTTTCAGTGAAGATGCAGCCTCAAGCATTTTCTGAAGCTCTTCAGCCTTCATGCTGCTAATCATATCTGTGGCAGTTCTAATCATTTCAGGAGACATTTTACCAAGACCCATGGCAGAAATAGATTCTGCATCAGCGTTTGAGACATATTTCTGGAATAACCTGGAATATTCTCACAATCACAGGAGAAAGTGCCAGTAAGGATACCCATATAGTCAAAAATAAAGCAGTGCAGTGATAAGTTTTAGAAACTAATAATAATAATAATAATAATAATAATAATATATAAGTTTTAGAAACTATTAAGAATAATAATAATAATAATAAAACATTACATATAAGTTTTTAAACCTGATGGTTTCAGGATTTTCTTTCAAAGTTCTTAAAGCTTCGGAATTTGCCGCAGAAACTTCACCATAAGATCCATCGTTTGGGTTGGATTCACAGCCTTCAACTGGCTGCATCACAGAATATTCAGCTGTACTATGACAATTTGATGGCACTGTTCTGCTTTCCACTTCGTCTATTTCCTCAATAACAACTCCTGGCAGGAATATGAATAAAAAACTCTTTAAAGGTTTCCATCCATCCCGAACGTATTCCGTGGAGTTGAATCATAAAATAGCAGAAAAAATCAAAGAACTTAAGGTAGGGATAAGGATAAAAAAAAAACCTTGTGATGTACTTGCACCTCCATCCTTCATTAGAATCTCCTTAGCATCTCTGAAATTTTTCATACATGTAATATTGTGATAGCAAAACTGAATATGCTACCTCCTATATGAGAGATGGAATTCTAGTAAATAGCGTTATACCTTAAGACGCCTGCAATAGTCTCATCTTCTGGGGAAATTTTATAAGCCACGCTCAAGTCAGACACGGCAGCCTGATGAAAATAGAAGTTACTGGATATTGGCCTTCCAATAAAACGCATGGTCAATGAGCATTAAATACTCTAATAGAGAATCAAAAAAGGTAGCAAATCTAGCAAAAAATAGCAGAGAGACTTGCCTCTAATTTACCGAGTTCCTTGTAAGCTTGACCTCTTCTATAGAGAGCTTTGACATTCTTCGAGTCATTTTTTAAAATCTGAGATCATAATTAGTTCCATTTAGTAGATAATTGTAGCTAACAAACAGGACTGTAAATGAAACAATATACTTGATGAGCAACCTGAACTTAACTCAATTAATACTCAATCATGTTAATGTTCACAAACAAACTCATTTGTTGTTCATCAAACAACTTCTAAATGTATTATACTTTTATGATGTCATTTATATAAAATTTAATTAATTAGAATTTAATTATTAAATACATATTATAATCAAAAATATATATGCCTATAAATTTAATGCAATTTATTCTTATTTTTTTATTTCAATGAACTAGTTTATTAATACTTATTTTTTTTTATTTATGTAATTTTATTCCAAGAAGTTTGCTTGCAACTTATATATTGTTTTCTTTAATTAATCTATACTAATTAGATGTCAATTTAAAATTTAGTCAATTGCTTATTTAGATTTGCAAAATCATTTGTTATATATTATATATCAAAAATCAAATACTCATTTGTTTTTTTAGCTTGTTTAATAACTTTATATGAAAAATCACGTACATATTAAAATTTAAATTTTACATAAAAAATCAAGTAGTCAATCGAGTTTTAGTTTGTTTAACTAATATAAACAAACCAAATACAAAACAGTATGATCATTAAAAAATTTAAGCAAGTCAATTAAGACCATATATATATATATATATGAAGGTTTGGCTCAAGCTCGAACTGAACATGAACAACTTATAATTTGATCACGTCTAGTCAAATCCTTGACCTACTCGACTCGACTTAGCTTGATTACAACCCAACTAACATATAATTGCAATTTATACTACAGGCTTTAAACTGCCAATTATGACCATATATATGAAGGTATGGCTCAAGCTCGAACTGAACATAAACAATTTATAATTCGATCACGTCTAGTCAAATCCTTGACATACTCGACTCGACTTAGCTTTATTACAACCCTACTAACATATAATTGCAATTTATACTGCAGGTTTTAAACTTAATAATGTTAGATATACATAAGAAAATGAAATAGAAGAGAAGGACCAGTGCATTGGCCAACACAATTTAAGGGGGACAAAATACTCTTCAAGGAAACTCAATTAGAGTAATAAGGGTTTGAGTCATGATATCAAGTCTTAAAAAATTGTCTTAATTTTCTCTCACTTCCTTTGGTTATTTTCCCCCATTCTCAATGTTTCTCCCTTTACACCTCGCTTCATCATCCATTCTTAACGCCTATCTTTCGCTCTCGTTCTCCGAAACCATGTCACCGACCCACTGCCCTCTTTTCTAAATCAGTAGGCATATTATCAACAGATGTCATTCTCTCCTCCTAAATGATACTCCCTCATTCTCTCAACATCCTTAATCTCTAATCATTTTCATACTCACTAAATTACCGATACCCCAATCCCTCTTATATCGCTTGAACTACATGTCATTAATCACACATATTCCCTTTGCCTAAATCATGCACTCACGGCTCCCTGTAATTCTCACTAAAATTGAACACTCCTTTCACTTCGTCATCTTTAACATCACACCACATTCTCCCATTCTATTTCTAGTCCGAAATTCCTTCATGATCCAGCATCACAGTCAGAACTTCTCAACCAAATCACGAACAACTACTTTTGGAGATTACTGTCATTATCACAAAATCCATTGTTTGGTCAACATGAAGACAGCAAAATGAAAAAAAAATAAAAAATAAACTGGTAGAAATGATTCAACAATAGTCATTGAGAATAGTTTCTATGATTCACATGCAATTAAATTTTCATAAGTATGAAGGAAAAAATTGTTTGATTTAGAAAAGGCCTTTTTATCTTTTTTTTTTTTTTAATCCAGCTCTGAGGTATGAATAATAGGAATGAATCATAGTTCAAATATTTCTTTATGATCAATTCTATATAGTCCATGCTCTAGAGACTAGAGTAAAAATATCTGACAGTAAAATCATCTGATAGAGATGTAATAATCTAAGAAAAGAAGAATTTTGAAATTTTAGCAGATAAGATAGTAGCAGAAGACATTTTTGACAATGCTTCTTGACTGCTTTCCTAAACTAAATTGGATCAATTAAAAATCACATGTGCCATTACCATGCCTAGTTCTAGTTAGAAATAGAAAGAACTTACATAGAAAGAGTGAGAAATCTAAATCCAAGACATTCAAGCTTCAGCCAGGTTTTATGTTGATTTGTGCTAACAAATGCCTCTATGGTGTCACAAACAAACATACTTGTGTTTTTTTGTTCATAAATCATAAAAGAAGCCCGCAACCAAGGTTCCAAGACCTAAGACGTAGTAATTAGAAAATTTGATTTTGTACATACTAACAAGAACCAAATACTTAGGAACCTTCATGCAGTTTTCTGAAAAATAATGAGAAGTAAATGAGATAACAGTACTTTATGATCAATAATTGCTTCATCTATCATGAATATAAACAATTGGAGGGTAAGGATGTCACAAAGCACACCTCTGAGCCTTCCATCACGCAATCCTCATATTGCATTGTCTTCAAGTAGCATGACATGAGGTTAAGAGAGCATTGCAACTTCAGAGTGCTTGATTTGGTTGAGGGGATGCCTTTTAAATTGCCTTTGGCCTAATGGTTGATTTATTAAAGTGAACTAATTTTTATGATATATAAGACTCGAAATATGAAGCAATAGAAAAGCAAATATTTAAATACAGTACAACTTACTCGTAAATACTTATTAGCTGCCTCATGATACTCCATGTTGGCATGAAGCTCATTCCCCTGAGAAGGAGAAAAAAATAATGATTTGTATGATCAACACAAGAAAATAGAAGCATTGAAAAGTAGGAAAAAGTTCAATACTTAGAAAAGAATCAGAAAATGAATGTATATAAAACCAAAGCAACACAAAAAAAAATGAAAAAAATAACTAGTCAATGGCACAGACAAGATTGCAAGCTTTTCTCATTATTAGGAAAGAATATGGATTAAGAGGTTCACAAACTACAGTCATTTCAGAAGAAAATTGACTAACTGTTAAGGTAACTAACACATATCTCCATAAAATTGTATGAAACTCATCTGTGCGGGCATAGGTGCATTGAGCGAGCCTGAATATATACACAGGCGTATAGTTGACATAGTGATCAGCCAGAGTCAGTAGTAGATGAAAAAAAGCATTTTCTAGGAATGAAGGTGAAAATGTGAATATATGAAGCACCATGTTTATCTTTTTTAGGAATGAAAATGAAAAAGCTTCTTTCTCAAGAGTAAAACAAATTCCAGAAAGCACCATGTTACCTTAATAGACAATGTAATGTACCTGAACCTAACAAAATGTGAAGAAACATTACATAAAATCTCAAAAGCAAGTCTTACTAAGGTAAGAGGTGTTCTTTCAAGATGGGCATAACCAACTGATCATGCGTCAAATGACCATTACTAACATTGAAAATTCTGTCAGTTAACCAGACCAAATATCTTCTTAGGTCAGTGTTTTTTTTTTTTTTTTGGTAAAACCTAAACCTCCATTTCACAAGCACAACCAACCATACAAGGTAAATATCTCGTTCTGTCGATATTTGCCACCTCATCTTCTAGCAGGCCTCCCAACCCCACACTAAGCCAACTTTCAAGTAAAATATCATGCCCACCACTATCCTTTTCCAATCATCTTAATGTTTGTGAACAACTCATGTTCAATTTGTTGAGTAGTTCATGTTTGGTTCGTTCTTTTCTTAAAATTTGAGCATGAACTCAATATTTAGGCTTAAATCCTTACTAGGCCCCATTAAAAACTCATTAAGATATCTGTTACTTAAAGGGGTGTCAAAAATTGATCCGACACATCAAAACGAATCAAATTCGACTCGAAAAATCCAGATTAGGGTTGACCCAAAAATTTTTCGAATTGGGTTCGGGTCAGAGTATTCGACTTGTTTGTTATTCGGGTTGGGTTCGGGTTGAGCATGAAAACTCAAACAAGACCTGAATAAGCACGAAAGTTTGGGTTGGGTTCAGGTCGGCAGGTCAAACTCAGATTCGGGTTGGATTCGGGTCTTAGTTTTTGACCCTTTTATTATTCGAGTCAGGTTTGAGTTGACTCTATTCAGGTCAGGTCATTTTTTGGTTGGACCCGAACCTAACCCGCTAACCTAAATTGACACCCCAACTGTTATTACATAATAAATATGCATAATGATTTTTTTGAAAATAATGCAAAAATATATCGCTGGTGTAGTAGATGCATATGGTTTTATGCATCGTGTTTGTATGGTGACGCATTTAGTTTGATTCTTTATCCTTTTTTTTTGCATTCAAATTAAAAAATTAATTTTTAATTGATATGTTGGTTTGAGTTCGCGTATATTTGCAAAAGTAAAACAATACTAACCTGAACACAAAAAGAGATGTTTCAAATATTAATGAGCAAAGACCAAACATAAACAATGATGAAACTAAGCAAAAAAAAAAAACAACATTCATTTGTATTTGGCCAATATGTGCCCCAATCAGTTGATTTATGTATTAGAAAAGGTGTGCAATCGAACACCCTTAATGACATTCACATAACTATAATCTTTGCAATTGTTTTACCACTTCAACATTTTCTTCTGCACACAAACAACTTCCCCAAATAAAGTGCCTCAAAGCTTCCACCAACGTAAATCACGTCATTTGAGGCACTATAAAAGCAAGGAAAGCATGCAAACACCGAATAAAGGCAATAGAGGAAAAGATGTGGTGATATATTGAATGTGCGTCCCAAGAAGAAAAAGCATTAGAGAAAGGTTGGAAGATATGAAAAGAAAGTATATCAGGCATTGACAGTCACAAAGATGAAATAGAAAAAAGGAAAATAAATAACTAAAGATGATTTTGGTTAAAGGCAAGATCACAATAAGTTTCTCGTTACGAATAAAGCAAGATAAATGTTACTAGGACAAATAGGAACCCTCGTTAACTTCCAAGATAACCAAAAGAAGTGAGTCTACTTCTTAGAAAACTGCTTCCCCAAATTTGGTAGCTATCAAATACCGTAATATGCCCCCTAAGATCTTTCAAAGTATCAAATTTCTTGAACAACAAATCATAGTTTTCTTACATGGATGTTACTACAGAGATGCATATTTGATGTTTCGCTCATTATACATGGCTATTAGCAAGTCAGGGCACAATATATATTTACTACCATTGCCCACCTACAACAAGAATGGTTGGATAATATAGATAACAAGCATGGTCAACATGAAAGGGAATCCCGAGCAGGAACATAACATCAAATATTTGTACATAATGAAATTTGCAGGGTCGATTTAATGGTCAAAACATCATTCAAAAAATTTGGTCGAGAAAATACTTTCCATGGGTGCATTAGTAATATGAAGCATTTAATAATGGTAGTCACTAACTATGCTAGCTTCATGCTAAACTTAACAAAAAAGGCATCTATTGAAACACATCACTTCAGCACTCAATTCAAAGTACCAAGTGCAATAGGAACTGGTCTATTTTACAAGAAAAAATGAGCATGGCAACCATAGATTTTCTAAATCTATAAGAGCTAACTCAAGAAAGAATGCATCGTTGTTAAGTAAAAGTAGAGAATTATTATTTGGTTCATGATATGCATCAACTAAAGGCAATGGTAGATAAACAATGAATGAAAAGGATGGGGAAAATATTAGAGGCATCACCTAAAGATGGCCGTTGGCTTGTCAAAATTTGCAAGGTAAATGAAACTGAAACCAGTTACATTCATTTGTCATTGTTATAGATGAGTTTTGTTTGGGATTTAGAGATATGTGATACTTTGGAATTAAATCAGCCGCACATGAATAGTCAAGGGACTATTTAGATATTTAAATTCAATTAATCTAAACCAAAAATAACAGTGTTATATTTGCTTGAAAGTAAAAAATTAACATAAAATATATCATATAAGCGTTTAATAGAATATTTACATATCCTTTCGTTGGCATATAGTTAAGAAATAATTAAGAATACATTAAATGATGAAAACTAATATTTAAAATCTTATTTTGAACATAGTTAAGATTTTTGTAGATACACAAACGAAATTATGTCCAAACAAAAGAATTGTTTACATTTTTTTTAAACTTTTTTACATTTCAGTGTACTTGAAAAGACAAGTTCAAATGAAGTCCACCTTTACAGTGAAGCAAGTCAATAAAGACTGATGCAAAACCAAAATGAACAGTTAAAAAGTTGTGATAACAAAACATCTAGAGGACAAAATGGTAACCTAACTAAGAAAAAAAAATTATAGTTACAAAATTATTCAAAATACTTGTTTCAATGCACTGTAATCACTATTAATCGAAAGTAAAAAAGAAAAATAAAACTTATGCTTTATATAGAAAAAATGGAACCATGATTCCACAATTCCAAAAAAAGAAAGAACCAAGAAAATAGTAAAGACCAACATTTCTGTTAAATGCAATTCATTTATTTCTAGGTGTTAGAGTCACAAATTCTTTCAAGGAATATATTTAATCAAGATAACCCTTTCACTCATGAATGGTAAATTTGAGTTAAGAAAAAATTTTTTGCATGTTAATGAAATATCTAAGAATAAAATAACATTGATTAATGTATTACCATAGCAAAAACAGAAGAAGGAATTATCATTCTTTCACTCTTTTGTTTTGTCTTTTTATATAAGAATTATGAATGGGGCTCAAAGTTAATATCACAAGTGTGGTGCTTGAAACAAATAACTCTATTTCGATACATAACGAAAAGAAGCAACACGTACAAAAATATATATTGGCATGCTTGCAATTTTTTAACGGCAGCAAAACCTACAGAATGACTACATAGGTTTATCCTCACAAGTTGAATGAAAAAAAAAAATCATAGTCAGGGTTAAGCAGATAACTTCCATTATATAGTAAAAAAAAGTAGCCATTTGTTGATGCGCAGTGCTCTGCTTGCTAAGTCACCATTAAGTGACACAAATGCATACTTTTCAGAAAAGATTACCTTAAATAGTGTTTGAAATTCATAACTATCTTGTCGGTCATAGTTATCTATCCTTTCTTTCCCAGTCCCACAGGTACTAAGCCACCTTATTTCCCATGAACCAGTCCATCGCATCCCTGAAGCTAAGATAAATCATGATTAAGGCATCTTCCGTCTATAAAATGTATTTGTGTGAGACCTCTATGGTGGATAGGGTGAGTCCTCCAACACTTGGAGTCCAATTATAGACTACACAAAGTGAATTTCCACCACATCCTCTCCCGCTTAATGAAAAAGGGTAACAAGATGACATAAAAGCAAAATTTATGTTGCTTTGACTTGAGGGTTGGACATTGACGTTTCATATCAATGCATAGTTGGGGTTTTTCTAATGGATTGGCTCTTCCCAAGTGGTGATAGAGTTGCCGAATGACTACATATCTGATGCTGTCTGCTACAAAGATGGTTTGGAAGTTTCCAAGCAGAATTTATGTTGCTTTGACTTGAGAGTTGGACATTGACGTTTCATATCAAGGCATAGGTGGGATTTTTCTAATGGATTGGCTCTTCCCAAGTGGTGATAAAGTTGCCGAATGACTACATATCTGATGCTGTCTGCTACAAAGATGGTTTGGAAGTTTCTCATTGGTTAAACCTTAGAATTCTTATAGACTTCACCAAATCCGAAATCTTAAGGACTTCCTCATGGAAGGGATTTTACATTAATATGAGCATAAAACTTCTTTGTCTTTTGTCATGATTCATTTTCAATTGAATTTGAAGTCATTACTTGACAAACTTTATGGGGACAATTCACATGACCGAATCTTTTCAAGTTCAATTACAAATTAGGCTATATTGTCAATGGCGTACATTCAGTAAGTACTCATGCAAACCAAAAATCCACACATTCAAATAGAGTACAATCATCTTAAAAAGAGCACATACGTGGCTTACCATGCCCTCTAATTCAATAAATATTTCTACAATTGGTTCATCAATTAAGTTTAAAATTTAATGCCTACTGGCTGAGATATTTGATAAGATTTCTCATTTCGTGACAAAACAATGTATGTTACATCATTAGATGCAACTTCTTTCGGTTGATTTGCTTTACTGCATCAGGAGGGGACCGGAGACAATTCTCATGTAGATAAACCACAAGACAAAAATCGCTAGGATCCTCCATTTATTCTTTCACAATACGTTTAGATAGAATTTAGGGAAGAAATTTGATACCTGTTTCTTTAGCATCTCAGCTGCACTAATTTGGTAAGAGATTTGAGCTTCCGCACGCATCCGGAGAGATGCAAGCTCTTCAGGTGAAGCATTGGCCATCTTCTCAGTCAACTCAGCAATATCTTCATGCTTAGTATGTTTTAGCTGCTCTGCTGCAAGTTTCACATCCTCAGGTTTCATATTCTTCATACTTTCAGTTGCTAGTTTCATTAACTCGGGATTCGAAAACATCTGCCATCGTTCAAATACAACCCAAGGAACTATAAAATTTAGCA